ACACTCAAATCTATTTCATGTTAGCTGAAGATTAAATAGAATGTAACCAAATAGGATTAGACGATATGTTCAAATTTTTTAAAATCTTGATGATCCAATAAATTCCGCTCCGGATTCTGTAATCATTTTCAGAATATATTATTGTTTAACGATCCCCCATCATATTAAAAGACTAATATATGAACCATGAATAGTCTATTCGATAAATTCTCCTTAGGTTCTACATTTATATATCCAAATTGATAATCCGGAATTTGGCCAGATTTAGAGCAAAGTGCATCGTTTAGAGTTAGGATTGTTAGACAGAAAATTGTTAATGTTGATATGACTCATATGGAATGTTAACTTCATTCAGATTATATGTTGAGTAAAATTTTAAGATCCATGATTCGAATAACTATGGGTCAGATAGGGTGAGAGAACTAGTAGTGTAATTACAAATTCGACCAGATGTCTGATGGGAGACTGTTAGGTTTGAAGCTAACACGAGTTCACCTGATCTGAGAACGAGAACAAAGACTCAGTGACCAAGACCAGTAAGCTAGTGTTAGCGGGACATAGACTGGATTAAAGCATGCTCAATGCACAATTGTTTTGGTGCACGCTGATTGGCTAATTCTTGTCCAATCAGCACTGGTCGATACTTGGAGAACACTCTAGAATCTTATGTAAAAACGATAAATATACTAACGTTTTCCCTATTGTGCTTCTTACTTGCTTTTTGCTTTCATCTAACCTTGTTATTTGGAATATAATCTCTTTCCTGCTCAACCGTGTTCTGATTTGGGGACTTGTCGAGTGAATCGGTGTCTGAGAATACTAAGCAATAGGAATAGCTGGGTCATAACCGTAAGAAAGAGATTATAACATCTAGCTATTTGATGCGTCCCAGACCCGCTAACTAGAGGGAGAAGTCCAAGCTTGAGATGGGAAAGTATACTCTGCAAACAGCCAGAAGCGAGCGATAACAATAAACACAATTCAAAACGTATATATACAGTGCAAAACCGTCCTTGGGGAGAGTTACCAAAACGCATACTAAAAGACCCAACTGACCAATAGCATTTAAGATATTTCCCAGTGGGAAATAAGACATGAAGGTAACAAGAGCGCCTTTGGCGCGAAAACAAAGAAATTCAAATTTTTTAAATAAAATTACAAAATTAAGTCATTTCCCAAGTGAGTTCTGGGGATCTAACGTCTCTTGATTATCAATCTGGATATATAATTGTAGTAATACAGCCTAGGTAAAATTTGCAGTGTGGAAGAAGCCTCAACACTATGGAGATTTCTTCGACACTATGCGTCCCTGAGAAGGTAGTCAATATCATACAGAATTCCTATGGTGGATTAAACTGCAAAATCGTGCATGGAGAACAGCTCATAGACTCGCTTGAAGTAAAATCGGTGTCAGGCAAGACTGCTTACTCTCATCTTGTCTCTTTCTCCTAGTGATCGACTGGCTCATGAAGACGTCAACATCTGGAGGAAGCATGGGATACAGTGGACAGCTACGATGCAGCCGGACAATCTAGACTTTGCAGATGATCTGGCCCTTCTATCCCAAATGCAACAACAAATGCAGGAGAAGACGAACAGTGTAGCAGCAGCCTCAGCAGCAGTAGGTCTCAACATACACAAAGGGAAAATCAAAATTCTCCGATACAACACATCATGCACCAATAGAACCACACTTGATGGAGAAGATTTGGAAGATGTAAAAACCTTTACATATTTGGGCAGCACCACTGATGAAGGCGCGGGTCGGCAAAACAAGAGCAGCATATTTACAACTGAAGAACATCTCGAACTCAAAGCAACTGTCAACCAACACCAAGGTCAGCATTTTCAACACAAATTTCAAAACTATTCTATTGTATGGGGCGAAAACGTGAGAAACTAGGAAAGCCAACATCCAGAAGGTACAAGTGTTTATTAACAGTTGTCTACGCAAAATACTTCGGATCCGTTGGTCGGACACTATTAGCAACAACCTACTGTGGGAGAGAACAAACCCGATCCCAGCGAAGGAAGAAACTAGTAAGAAGCGCTGGAAGTGGATAGGACACATATTGAGGAAAGCACTCAACTGTGTCACAAGGCAAGCCCTCACATGGAATCCTCAAGGCCAAAGGAAAAGAGGAAGACCAAAGAACACATTACACCGATAAATGGATACAGACATGAGAAAGATGAGCAAAAATTGGATAGAACTAGAAAGGAAAGCCTAGGATAGAGTGGGTTGGAGAATGTTGGTCGGAGGCCTATGCTCCGTTGGGGGTAACAGGCGAAAGTAAGTATGTAAGTAAAATTTGGATGGATGAATACATTAATAATTTAATGTACACAACCTTTCTGACTGAAATTGATCAAGTCAATTATTTTTATTTAAATCAGGTCATTATCAAACTGTTTAAACAGGTGATTACAGGAAGTCAGATTAGATTTTTATTAACACAAATGCTATTGTATCAATATTTTACCATTCGTAATGATGTTAATACATTAAAGCACAGTAGTTATTGGATATTTTTCATATTACTAAATGTAAATTATTCGAAGTGATGAATAAATAAACTTAATTGGCTACGATAACATATATTTCATATCCCACAAAAACCTATGTAGTAGAGGGAATAATACCATCTAACCAAACGAGTGTATTTTTTTAGAAAGGTTATGTATGTTGCAAACTGTCTTACCTTCAACTGACTGATATAACCTACAGCATTACTAAATATAACAAACATTATTATGGCAAGCATAGTAAAATAATCCCGAACTTAGGACTAATTACCTACTCAATACTCACTAGTTTCCAGGGTCTTTCACGTGAATGAACAGCATTTAAATGAAGAAAGAAATTTCCCTTATATTCACTGCTATATCTTACACAACCATCTGATATTTGATTAAAACAATGATGAAACCGACATACTAAATTTTTTGTAAGCAATGATGGATAGTGGCTAGCAGTGGAATCCGGGACGCGTGTTTCGTCCTATTCGAGACTCGTCAGGTGGACGTACCTGCATCTCAGAGTTGATGTTCACTCTGGGACTGGAACCCAGTACCATTCGCATTGAACGTCATCGTGTTATCCACTGAGCTACCAAATCCTGATAGCCACTCCTATGTGCAACGGGGTGAATTTAAATTCACTTGGCACTGTTTGGCTTGAATCTTCTTCCCATTGAAGTTGCAGACTGCAATTGATCAATCTGTTATTGGCATATGTGCATACTGTGTGTATGCCAATAACAGACTGACCAATTACAGTCTTGAACCTCAATGGGAAGATACAAGCCAAACGATACCAAGTCGACATACTGAATGTTTCCAGTTAGTTGATGCCGATTAAGAGAAATACTTAATCACGAGCTTTAAGAGGTTATTACATTCTGTTTCGTCATCATTTAGGAGTACCACATGGTAAAGCTGTCACAGAGACATATGCCATAATCTTTAAATTTATGATTAGAAGTTACCCTTGAATTACCGACTTGATTTAGCTATACTACAGATAACGTAAAAAGGGTAATGATGATTTTTTTAAAGAACTGGATGTCGATGTTAGTAACTAATGATTCCCTATCCTCAAAGCCATTTGACTAAAAGCCCTAAACCACTTCTTTGCTGCCCTTCATTAGATAAATATATTAATATTACTAAGGGAAATTACAATGCCGTTTAAACCCACGTCAATTAGTATCCCGAAACATAGCCCGATAATATCTGACTAAGTTATTAGCGAAATTCAGTTTCGTCAACAAGCTAACAAAGGTATGAGTCACAAAATCTGTCAACTAACTCCACACATCTAACATTCAAACAATGTATGCTACAATGTGTCACTTAACTTAGTGGTTACAATCCACTATACTGAAGAACAGCATCGACGACTATTCAGTGATCAACTCCTAAGTATGATGAACATTATCGAAATCCATTTATGCACTGGCAAAGAATATTGACTAGGGTTAGAAACATGGTTACTAAAACAAAGAGCTTGTCACAATGACGAGTTATGTCTGATGCTAATTATATGGAAACGAATCAAGAGGAATTTAGTGTTTTTTTGTTATTAAGTAAATCAATCTCATTAATTTATACAGTTTATCGATGAGAAATATCAACAATGGAATTAAATTGGTATTAAATCAAAACTGAACGTTTCCTCACACCCAACTGGCGAAAAATATAAATCTACCACTTCTACACAGAATATCCACCAAGGACTATCTTCATAAGAAACGGCACTGTAACAAACGTAAGTATTCAACACTTGAATTAAACAGGTGTATTAAATTAGATTATATTTTTACTAGTAAATTGATTGTCTACTATTTCACCATTTAGTGGGATCTATTTTGGTGGAGTTTTGTTCTCCAAGGTGAATAGTTTGGTCGTGGAGCTTTTATCGTTCTTCTGAACGACATCATCAGAACAGACTTCACTTCTATTTGAAGCTCCATATCCAAACTATTCAGCTTAGGGAACAAAACTCCACCCAAATCATACACCTGAACTACAAATCTCCACCATCTCCGTTAAATCTATCCTAGCACGAGATCCAGATTACAGAAGTTCCTGACTACCTCCGTCAGTATGAAGCTCTCTGAACCTTGGCCTACGGACTTGATGAGGGAAAACTGATACATAAGAACATCAATACGACTAAAACACTTCACAACACCATAATATTTAAAGAAATCACAATTGTTTTAATAATAATAATAATGAAATATATAATTATTTAATAATAACAGGTCCAAACTTATATCCATACACTTTCTTTGTGTAAAATAAGTAAGTTTAGTAAATTAACGGAACTATATGATAAACAACCAATAGGGGGAAAATATTTGAATTCACAATTATTAACTATTTAATATGCAACAATCTTTAAAAAATGTTTGAACGAGAAAAAGAACAAAACAAAACGAAAATGTTTTTTTTTCTTCTTTCAATGTTGTAGATTGAACAGAATATGAAGTGAGTAATAATAATAATAATAATAATAATAATAATAATAATAATAATAATAATAATAATTGCATGTCTTTTATAATTTGACAAATTCTTTGTTATACGGAAACTGGGATACGTACGAATTATTTTAAATGCTAATCAAATAGTCCACCATTCCATTACTATCAATAAACTATATGTAATGTAAATAGAATTAACAAGTGTAAAATGTGAGCAATTTTCAATGATGATACACCATTCATTATTCCAGGCGTACTTGTAACTATCTTAGGATTATCTAAAAATAAAATAAAAATGATCCATTAACTAACTAATTACATAATCAAATGTAGTACGCTTTAAGTACAGTTCACTGTAAACGAAATGTTTAAACATAAATTACCTTTGTGATATCATTTCAAATAAATGAAATCGATTTATTATTTCCTTTTTAATAGTAGTTATCTATGCAGTTACATTTAAGTTAGTAAAGTAGTGAAATCATAGATTGTTTTCAACTTCCATTTAAATTGATTTCATTGCATGCCTAGTGTTAAGTAATAGGTAGTTATTAATTCGAAATTTGAACGCAGGAGGAACTGTTAGACCTAGTAATGTTAAACTTGAACCATACGACTTCAAAATGGGTTTAGTTCCGTTGGACGTTTCAAAAACAATTCTATGTACAAGTGGAACTATAAGTCAATGAATTCACAAGCAATAAGTGAAACCACAAAATAACAATAATAATAGTTCAGATGGATGTATTGTGTAGAGTTTAGCTGAGGTGATTTTTTAGTCGAAGACAACTTACTACTGTCTCCATGTTAACTTCTATGAATTTTACTCAAACCTATATGAGCATACCTTATGCAAATAACAAGAGGAGCTAGTTAAGAAATTACAATCTAAGTAATAACCCATAATCAGTAACTAAAAAGACCAAACTGGAAGGATTATGCTGTCATCAAAGTAATCAGAATAGAAGTGAACTAAAATAACGTAATATGAAAGAATTGGTACAGCCCCATAAAAACTGTCAATTCCCATTAAGTTAAACACCTTGCTGTTTTATTTAAAATCCCAGCAAACTTTCACCACTACACTACAGTTTTGTGAATATCTAAAAAAAAAACCAGTAACATCAAGAAGTATCAATATGAACTATTTAATGAAATCCAGACTATCAATTCTCACACATTGTATGAACGTATATATTTAAAAGCACCGAAACTTTGACAATTCAGTTGGTTTTTATACAACATTAAACAATGATCGCTACTAAATTCAAATGTTTCAAGGCATTCTAAACAAGTCCCATTACTGATGGAACCTACCAGTTATACGCATTTTATAACCAAAAATGTTGTTAATGTCATCTAGAATTTTCCTTCAAGACTTCACAAAGAAGTGGATGAGCAATTAATCTCAAGTTTACACAAAGTAGAAAATTCTAATCTACTTTTTTATGAGAAATGTTTAGTAATTCTAAGCATATTTTTAAGCATCATTCTAAAAATTCGTGAAGACTATAAATCAATATTTCATAAAACAGACTGACTTTACAACTCATGAAGATCCCCAACATTTAATCATTCATTTTCATATTTTGAACTTGACGGATCAGGAAAAAATGTAGCAAGAAAGTACTGTGTATGTTCATGGTTTTAAAATAAACTCAAGGAGCAGCTCTATTAGAGAAAAATTTTTGAAGTCAATATGGATACCGAGGAAATGTCAAATTACGGAAGTAACGATACTGGCTTCGTTTTTAGGTTAAATACAGTGGTAGACACTTTCACACGGGATATTTCGGCATCCATGGCGTAGAGAAATCCTCTATCCACAAAGCCCACGATAAAATAGACATAAATGGCAGACAACCTGCATGTATGAAAACCCTAGGATAGTAAGAATATCATAAGTTAACCATAATACTATCACACCTAGTACTCCAAAAATATCTAGGGACATTAATTACCATTGGTTTAAGATATCAACTAACCATTTCAGCGAAATTAAAACTTCTTACCTCAGAATCTATAACTTATCTACGCTTCTAGTCATAGTTTCGAATAAATAAAAACATCAGCTTGACGAGAATTATTTTTCAGCGATCACTTATGAATTATTATGACCAGTTTGAATACGAATTGCTAAGATACAGAAAGTTGTGATTGAGTATATTAACCTAAACGAGCACAAAACTAACTCCCAGTAAGATACATACTATGGACAAAATAGCAAAGATTACTACCATATTAGTTATTTACTCACTAATAAATAATAATGAACCCATAACTGTCACGTCAAGACATACAAAATCTAATCTAACCATTCAGCCGTAGGATATGGAATCAGTATACCAAATAATAATGACATCGTAAGAGAAGTGAAATCACCTAGTCATAAATCGTGATGAATAGGGGACAAGCCACAACAAAAAAACATGCATAATACAACACTACAAGAGCTTCTAACCTGTAGTTCGGTATTTCTCCTGTTCACTTTCCATGCTCGAAGACACAATTTCCGTGGTACTTGTCTCACTTTCTTGAAGAGTAGTCTTTAGACTCACCGAGGACTCTGACTCCGTTGTTCTTACATCCAAAGACTCCTCTCCAACCACATTGGCAATCACAGATTTGTTACTTTGTCGTGTAACATTCAACTCTATATCAGAGGACTCAGACGAAACACTGTCAGTACTTGATGAAGTGTCCCTAGTCCCTTCAGATCCCACTGGAGTAGAGGTGCTAGTTTTGCCAGTAACATCAATATCAGTACTTGCTACTGAAGCAACATCAGCAGTCTCTGTACTTAATGTCAAAGTTGTGGATGATAATGTTGTATCGCTAAGGTTATCAGTTGACTCAGATGTAGAACCAGTAAACGAATCATTTGCATTTCCAGTTGTTAAAATGACACTCATGAAAATAGCATAGAAAATAAAATGGATCATGTACACTCCACTATAACAATAAAATAACTTTTGACTATACATTCCAATAGTTTACAATGATGCAATTAATGTAACTAAACTGATTTGAATACTAAAAAAAATCAACAATAGTTTTGATGTTAAATTTTAAAATGAATCAATGATTGATTTATATTCGTTGATCCACAGCCCAATTTATAATAAATCTGCCCATCTAGATAGATTTGATCGATTGATATATTTCTCTATAGTTTAGCACAAACTAATAATTTGATTGGTTTGTGAAATGTTTTCTATCATTCATGATGATGATGAGTGGGCAAATCAGAATACTCAAATAATATTCGAGTATGACGAATGCATGTGACACAGTAGAATATTTAATCGCACCAAAAAAATCAAGCTCCAATTCTAGGATGAGGAGCTTCTACTATAAGTGAACTGATAATTGTAGCCTATTCTTATGTTATACTTAGAATTTAATGCTAAATGACTCTGAATTTAAGAGTTAGAATTTAGGCACAACTGTATGTATATTTCGCATACATAATAAATGTGGTCAGCATCATGATTATCGACTTTACAGGATATAATATTGTTGTAGCAGTTGTAAACATCTGAAAGCCACTTGAAATAAATGAACTATTTCTTCAAGTATTGTTTTTAGGGTAAACATTGGTTGGTTGGTTGGTTCATATCTGAACTATACAGTGCCAAATGCATTGAAAACGTACATATTTGGTGTTAAGATAAAATACAAATAATCGGTAATATTTTCAACAATCACTAGAATTTTTATTTATATTACTTCCTAAACTACTATTTCTAGGCTTGAACATAACATCAGTTTCCTGATAATCATTCACCCGAGATTTTTAGGAACTGTCATGGTGTGTAATCACTCTAGTCATAATAGAGAACTATCTTTTAGATTCCTAAGCGTGGAAGCAATAAGAAACTTTTAAACGAATAAATATGGTCCTGAGTTTGAATCTCGTGAGAACTCCGCCTGGAGTCCCTCCGGGGGCTACTGCCGGTCCCAAGCCCGGATAAAGGAGGAGAGATGGGCATGGAGTTAGCGTCCCCATCACGTAGAGAGCTAACTCGATAGAAAACGCTAACCAGAAAAAATAATTCAAACCTTTTAAACTCTGCCCTGGGAGTCAGAAGGTCTTCATTTAAAAGAACTATGACGTCTCATGATGAAAGCCGAATTCCTTCGGAAGTTACGAGGCCGATGCCCCTTCTGACAACCAGAGCAACCATTTATTTAGGTACATGGAATGTTCGTACAATGTGGGACACCTGGAGAGCCTTCCAAATTGCTGCAGAAATGAGAAGATACAACCTAGAGGTACTTGGGATCAGTGAAACACATTGGACACAAGTTGGACAACAACGACTAACTTCAGGAGAACTTCTGTTATACTCCGGCCATGAAGAAGAAAATGTCCCACATACACAAGGAGTTGCATTGATGCTATCCAAACAAGCACAACATGCACTTATAGGATGGGAATCTCATGGACCAAGGATCATCAAAGCCTCCTTCAAAACAAAGAAAGAGGGCATTTCAATGAACATCATCCAATGCTATGCGCCTACCAACGACTACAATGAAGACGCTAAAGATTAATTCTACAATGTGCTGCAGTCAATCATCGAGAAGTGCCCAACAAAGGACCTGACCATTCTGATGGGAGATTTCAATGCCAAGGCTGGAAAGGACAACACTGGATATGAAGACATCATGGGACGACACGGACTGGGAGAAAGGAACGAAAATGGTGAGAGATTCGCAAACCTATTTGCCTTCAATAAGCTGGTCAAAGGTGGCACCATATTCCCACATAAACGCATTCACAAAATCACATGGACTTCACCGGATCACACTACACAAAACCAAACCGACCATATCTGCATCAACAAAAAGTTCAGGAGGACGATGGAGGATGTGAGAACCAAGAGAGGAGCTGATATGGCATCAGATCATCACTTACTGGTCGCCAAGATGAAATTGAAACTTAAGAATTACTGGACAATGGGGCGGACAACGGCCTTTCTCCAGGATACTGATAAACTCAACAAATTCAAGATAGTCCTCAGCAATAAATTCCAGGCCTTTCATGATCTACTCAATGGAGAGGGAACTACTATGTAGAGCAACTGGAAAGAGATAAAGGAGGTAATCACTTCATCATGTCATAAGGTTCTGGGCCAGAAGAAGCACCATCACAAGGAATGGATCACTGTTGATACACTGTATATGATTTAAGAAAGGAGGAACACGAAGGCAGCAATCAATACAAATCAAGAGCGGTGAAGCAGCAGGAGCAGACAATATTCCAGCGGAAGCACTGAGAGCAGACGTAGCAGTAACTGTGAAGATACTCCACATTCTCCTCAGCAAAATTTGGGATGAAGGACAAGTACCAACGGACCGGAAAGAAGGAAACCTGATCAAGATATCAAAGAAAGGTGATCTCAGAAAGTGTGAGTACTACAGAGGCATCAATCTTCTCTCAATACTAGGAAACGTCTTCAACAGTGTGTTGTTAAACAGAGTGAAGGACTGCGTAGACCCCCAACTTCGTAATCAACGGGCAGGATTCCATAAGGATAGATCGTGTACAGACCGAATCGCAACTCTACGGATCATTGTGGAACAATCAATTGAAGGAAATTCATCACTCTACATCAGCTTCATTGACTACGAAAAAGCATTTGACAGCGTGGACAGAACGACATCATGGAAACTTCTTCGACACTACGGCGTCCCTGAGAAAGGTAGTCAATATCATACAGAATTCCTATGGTGGATTAAACTGCAAAATCGTGCATGGAGAACAGCTCATAGACTCGCTTGAAGTAAAATCGGTGTCAGGCAAGACTGCTTACTCTCATCTTGTCTCTTTCTCCTAGTGATCGACTGGCTCATGAAGACGTCAACATCTGGAGGAAGCATGGGATACAGTGGACAGCTACGATGCAGCCGGACAATCTAGACTTTGCAGATGATCTGGCCCTTCTATCCCAAATGCAACAACAAATGCAGGAGAAGACGAACAGTGTAGCAGCAGCCTCAGCAGCAGTAGGTCTCAATATACACAAAAGGAAAAGCAAGATTCTCCGATGCAACACAGCATGCACCAATCCAATCACAATTGACGGAGAAGATTTGGAAGATGTAAAAACCTTTACATATTTGGGCAGCATCATTGATGAACAGGGTGGATCTGATGCAGATGTGAAGGAGCGGATCGGCAAAGCAAGAGCAGCATATTTACAACTGAGGAACATCTGGAACTCAAAGCAACTGTCAACCAACACCATGGTCAGGATTTTCCACGAAAATGTCAAGACAGTTCTACTGTATGGGGCAGAAACCTGGAGAACTACGAAAGCCATCATCTAGAAGATACAGGTGTTTATTAACAGTTGTCTACGCAAAATACTTCGGATCCGTTGGTCGGACACTATTAGCAACAACCTACTATGGGAGATAACAAACCAGATCCCAGCGGAGGAAGAAACTAGTAAGAAGCGCTGGAAGCGGATAGGACACATATTGAGGAAAGCACTCAACTGCGTCACAAGGCAAGCCCTCACATGGAATCCTCAAGGCCAAAGGAAAAGAGGAAGACCAAAGAACACATTACACCGATAAATGGAGATAGACATGAGAAAAATTAACAAGAATTAGATGGGACTAGAAAAGAAGGCCCAGGTCAGAGTTAGTTGAAGAATGTTGGTCGGCGGCCTATGATCCATTAGGAGTAACAGGCGAAGAAGAAAAGAAGAAGAGTTTGGATCTCATGAGGTGAGATCGTGGATGAGCACTGTTATGAAGTCCCACAATAGAACAAAACGGCCGTCTAGTGCTTCCAGGTTTTCCATAGTGATCTAGCTTTAATTGACTCATGATCTCAACTACTGAATAAATATAGGTTAGAAAGTAACTACTCACAGATCTACAAGCAATTTTTATTTATTAATTACGATAGGCATCAATGACAAGATTGGACTAGATAGTTTCAAACAAACTGAATATCAGGATACTTCAAATATATTGTTTTTATTAATTTCTACTCAGTTATTCTGAAATTATCAAGTCAAACCTTGGTAATGATACTTACAAACTCATTATTAATTGGGTAGAAAGTTAATAATAAATGTGTTTTCTGTTATATCCCAAGTTCCATTTACTTACTTTCAAGAATTAGCTTACATTACGTCACGTTACGTCAAAAATACAATTTTTCTTGAGATTAGATGGTGGTTGGAGGTAGTCGACAGGAAACCATGGACCCGGGTTTCGTGTTACTTGGCACTTGTCAGCAAGGTGTACCTGTAATCTTGAGGGAACTGGTACTCCCTGGCGGATTCGATCTCGTGTCACCCAGCTTCACAGTCAGAGACGTTACCACTGAGCTATCCGTGCCGCGATCTAATCTCAATATATAGTGCACACAGTGTCGAGTCACCTAGACTGGTGACCACATCGCAACATGGTCCATAGGATTCGATCTGCACTAAATAAGGACTTGATACACATGACATTGATCACCACCCAGTGATCAATCAATTGTGGATACAATTTTTCTACTCATTGGGACATAACAAAAAATAAATGTTTATTATTCATTACAATATTTGATACTCAATACGCTCAAAATATTACAAATTGATGGGAAATAAATTTTAATGTGATGTTGAATTTACGTTCTGATTCTATGAGGACCTACCAGTAAAACTATTCCAGGTCGATGTTGTAATAAACGATTAGCAAAAGTTAGGGTAAGACAAAATTGACTTGTCAGTTCAATGGATAAAAGTATATCATTCTAATAAATGCTAACTTATGATAAATAATAAACTAACATCCATTACAATCGACACTGATGAATTTCACTGATCATTGATTCCCATTAGAACGCCGGGAATTTCCTTTCAAAGTTATACTGTGGTGGCAAGGTCACATATGTCCATTGTTGAGAAGTCCCATACTAGGACAAAACAGCTGTCTAATGCATATATATAATCTCCACAACCCCCATTACCATGTTTTCTCCACTAGCTAACTTCGAGAAGAAATTTCAATAGTTCTAATGAAAAGCCGTGGTCATCGGAGTTCAACTGTGTCTAGTGTGAGGAAAGTACCCAACGAAAATAATATTCAATATATATAAAATAAA